AATAGCTATAATATGAGTAATTTTTGCAAAACGACGAACCGTGTCACAGATATTTTGCAGTTTGGCACCTTACCTTGCGCCTTGTAAATTTCGGTTATTTTTGAACCAAAAATTTAGCGCCAAAAGTGAGCGTTTTATATCAGTCAAAGACGTCCGGTAATCATAGTATCATTAAGAATATAATACCCTCGGTACCATTCCAAAAGAGGATATCAAGGATGTTTCAGCAGCAGTTACAAAATATATTTCTTGGAGTAAGTATGATTGTGCCAAACGACAATGCTTGTCGAAAGAGTTTAAGCTTAGTTTAAATTGTACACTGCAAAAACAAAAATTCAGAGACGTTTTTTTGTAACTTCTGCGTATACGGCACTCGGTCCGCGGGTTGGGACCTTATAAGCAACCATCATATTATGACATCATGGGCGTATACAAGAAAACGGTGCGCTTAAGTCGTAACGGAAATAATACACAAGTCTTGGGTAAATATATATATATATTATACAGGTATACCTAAATGTATTAAAATGTGTGTAATATAAGTGTACCTCTCGCGAGGAAGTGGTGAAGAAAAAAAAAACGATCGTTTCGCAATGTACCTACTTGTATAAAAGTATTACACTCACCGTACCTGCGTCAAAAGAGCGCCCGCAGAAAAACCGGAGAGAAACGACCGTTAGAAGGGTGCGCGCCCCTATGAGTGTGTGTGTGTGTGTGTGTGTGTGTTAGTGTGTGTGTGTGTCTGATATGTGTGTACTGTGTATGTGTGATTTTGTGTGAGTGTATTTGTGCGTGTGTGTGATTTGTGCGAGTGTACGTGTGCGCGTGTGTGCGTGCCTCGCGCGTCTTGAAGATATTACTATTATTGTTGTTGTCGACGTTATTGGGGTTGGAGGGGTACGGCGGTGGCGAACGGTCGTTGCCGAAAAGACATATTTCGCTATTGTGCTCGCCCGGAACAACCCTCGGTGACTTCCTCGCCAAGACGCGCGGCGTTGAAAGAAAAAAAAACCGTTATTATATTCATATAGGTTCGCGCGGTCTTGGCGCGTACGACACTGTTTTTTCCCACGAGCCCGCAAAGGCACCACCTGGTCTCGGGGTCGTGCGGCGGCCCTCTTTCTTATGAGGGTATTTTTTTTTTCCTTTTATAGCTTTTGCTTCTTGGCGTTCGTCTTTTGCCCGCGGACCGGTTTCCTTTCCCCTGTATAGGAATATTATATTCTCCGACATCCGTACCAGTATGTGATGCATACCTACATAACATGACTGCTGGAGTTATTATTATTTACGTTATATAGTATACGTTTGCTGAGACCGCTACGTGGATGAGTATCTAGCGGCATTTGCGCAATATGTAATAATAAATATTTATATCTACGTAATATACGGAGTTATCCGTTAGATTGCCTATAGTCATATGTGCTCATTTTGTTGATCATTTTTTTACATGAGTAGGAAAGAATTTTAAACATTAGGTATAACTTTTCGTGTGAAATTGGTACTTGGCAGTTTGGCCGATACGTTAAAGTGTAATCTATAATCTCACTCATACACTAATATTATATACCTGCTAACGAGTAACGACTAACCTGTACCTACCGGTAATTCAAAAATATCATTAACTGTAGAATTTTTTTTTCAAATAAATACTTACTTTAAAATCTTATTAAAACTTATTATTATTCAAACAAATTAGGTACGATGTTTTTCATTTTTATTTTAACTGAAATTTGTAGTTTTGGACTTTGAGACTAATAACTTTGAATTCGTAACACGCAATATAAGTCATAATTTGTTTCGTTTTTATATTGCTGTTTTGTCAAATGTAAAAATATTTTGAGGTCTACTCTTAGTTCGTAAATAAAATTCTTTAAAACATAATATAACAATCACAATCACTAAAACGTTTTTATTTTCATATATTATTATGTTTTGTTTTGTATTACGTTGTAGATTAAATATCTCGCACAACTATGTGCATATATATATCGATAATTTCGTTGCGTATATAAGCGCCGTGTACGCAATATTACTGTAGATTCAATTATTCATAAAACATTATTTATGAGAATAAAAAACACACAGCACTTATAAAATAACACACCAATCGCTGATACTTACGTGACACGACTACAGCAGTTGTGCCTACAACCCAATTCGATTCACTTAGGTACTATAAATCAGACAGCGCGGAAATATTATAAAACCATTTATCGATATGCCAAAATATGCGGAATCGTCGTCGAGTTCAACAACAATTTCGATATCGGGTGTATCGTGTATAGTCAGCAGTCACTCTTACCGAAAACAATGTTTAGGTATATTATATTATTAGACTATAATGGTACATGTAATTATTAATAATTATATTGTCATATTATACGCGACTGCAGAGTATCTCATTGGTCTGTTCCGCTTAACCGAACAAACAGTGCATATTATAATACTTGCTTTGACTAAAAATAACCATACCGTTTAAAAAAGGAAAAAACACGTCTATTGTGTTGGGCTGTTAAAAAAATTGAATACTCACAAACAGGCAGCATATACCTACATTCTGTGTGGTATAGATATGCCCGAAGTGCGAGTCAGACGTCAACACGGCGTGTTGTTGATGTAATAATATACCTAATAAAATGTATTTTTAAAAGTCGAAATTTTTCTAAAATCGTAAGCGTACCTGCGAAATATTTGATCGACGCTTAACGTGCTGTTATGAATATATATAAATCTATATTGAATATTGGGTACACTGCTATGGTTTGGACATAGCGTAAAGAGGGGACGAGGGGAATTTTTTAGTTTTCATTCTTTTGCTGAAGCGACTATTCTGCAGTAAGCGTATACTATTACGTTTTATTATTGTGTTAGGTATATTTTATAACTTTTATAATATTTACTGTTAAGACTTTAATATAGTTTCCAAAAATTACTATAGTAATAATAAGTAATAACTAACCAAGACCCACGGGGAGTAGCGAACACTCAAAACCGCCACTGTGGTACAATGAACGAAAATTATATATAATTTACGAACACGTATTTAGAGTAAGAATAACAAAAAAAAAGTTCACCGTTTTAGGTTTGATGAGACAGTAAACTGATGTGTCTCATTAAGTCTAGGTGACAATCAAAACCTATTATTGATACATAATTATTGTGATTCTGATATTGATGTTTCTTCTTTGAGCTGCCAAATTAAATACCAATTCGCGATACATTATCATTTTTTTTTTTTTTTTTGATCTATGCTATAAATTTAAATAATTGTCAGTATTTGCATAGCGAAAGAACAAGTGGAGAGACATATAAAATTTTGATGGGCATGTATATAATGTAAACACAGGTATCACGGAGTAAATTTTATCAACACGTACCAATATGTGTATAATGTATATTGTTAATTAATTTTATTATTTTTATTGAAACTCCGAGTTATAATACTGCATGCAAATCCGCTAGTTGTAAAAACATTAAATAACGTAAAAAAAACTTCGACAAGAATAATTGTATAGGAATAATTTATGACAACGAGAAAATTATACACGTAGCCCAATTACTGAATATTAATATTAAATATTTGTAAAAGTATGGTTAAATAGCTCTGCAGCTGGCGCAAACTTACTGTACAAATTGAAGTCAAGAAAAGTGTGCAGCGTGTAAACGCGATGGTTTGATTTATGAACTAATCGGGATACATTTTTTTAAATAAATTTCCTATGTGTGTGTATGTTTGTGCACACACTGCCGCGTTGATTAAATACAATATAGTAAACAACTATATCAACCAAAACTAAAACACACATTATGATTTGGTTGCGTACACACTTATAGGTATATTATATTTATAAAAATATTATATTTGTTTTTAATGTTAGAAAAAAAATCTGTAGCGTAAAATTATATGATCGTTCAACATGTACCTATTTTATCCTCTCAGAACATAAGAGATTTCAGATAGGTAAGCGCACACTAGATTTCTTATTTTTTTTTTTTCGGGATTTGCGAATTCGTGACTGTCAAGCTTATATCAATATATATGGGTGCACTCGGAGGAACCGCGGTTGAAAAACATGATGGTTTTCGAATGAAGGTAAAATATTGTTTAAGATGTACTAATTTAGGTCCGCAGTGTTTTTCTAGACAATAAAATATTATATTATAGGGGCCGAGTGCACTCGAAAATATCGATCAATTGAAAAAAAAAACTTGTTGCCGTTATCACCGTTATTATTCGTCCACGGTGTGCGTCGATAGACGGCACTCGCATTTAATAGAGGTACACCTACCTGCAGCAATTATCGAATTTGAGACTATTCAGCTTCGTAGATCCGAGTGTTTCGAGTCTCCTGCACGGTGCCTACCCATATCATAATAGTCGTGCGTATACGACACATAGTTCCGGTCGCGCGAGACTTGTGTATTGATTGGGCTCGAGCGCAATATCGTGTTTGATTTGATTAAGTACTTCGTTGTGGGTGCATTAATAATAGTCGTATATTCTGTGCATTATAGCATATATATATAATAGCCGTGATGTATATACGCGGGTCGGAAGGAGCAGATGCATTAGGTTTTTGACATAAGGCACGAGCCGCAGGGTATTGTACACATATACACGTATATTACAGCGTGTTGTACTGCAGTATTTATTGTACTCACACACACTCAGATAAATTCAAATGCACATAAGTTTAAGTATAAATGTTCCAGTGTGTGTGTGTGTGTGTGTGTGTGTGTGTGTGTGTGTGTGTGTGTGTGTGTGTGTATACGAGTACATAGTAGCGATTGTAGGTGAGTGGCGGCGGCAATAATAATAATATATAAAATTTTATAACGGCGGCAGTGGCGTCGTCGCGGGTAGTCGAACGAACGGGGTGGGGGAAAGGGAAAAAACAGTTGTTGTATATTATTATTACTATTATTATATGTGTGTGTGTGTGTGCAGGTGATCCGGTTGATGCGCGAAGGAAGGGGACCGCCAATCGGAGCCGGCTATGTCATCTGAGGAGGACGGCGGCAACCACGGAACGACGGCGGTGGCGGGGGGCGCAGAGTGTTTCGTCGGCGGCGGCGGTATCGGTGGTGGGGGTGATCCGTTGGACGGTTCGGCCGACAAACTGTTGAAGAACAAGGCGAAGCGGAGCAGACAGCGCGTGGATGCCGGTGAGCCGCGTAACAGCTACTCGTCCATACCGAATTTCAGTTCTCGACCGATCGTGTCCTCGGCACCACTGCTTAACCAGGCCGCAAGCTTCTACGGAGCATTTTTCGGCCAAGGCCACCAGCAGTACTTTTTCAACCAGGGCTTCGCGCCCGGTAAAATGCTAAACGAGTTCATCGGCCGTCAAGTCAAAGAAGAAATGGTGACCATGGACTCGTCCGATTGCTTGACGCAGCCGCTACCCGGTCTGCCCGGTTCTCCGGCCACCGGGCCCAACAGCGAGCTGGCCCATCACATGCTCCGCGACATATTACAGGGCAGAAAAAAAGAGCTGCTCGCACTGGAACAGGAGTTCCGCAACTCCGACGACCCGTCGTCGCCGGACAACAGTATTATGAACAACAACAACAATATCAACAGCAACAAGAACGACATCAGCGGCTCGGAAGAATGCGCCGCCGCCACTGCCGCCAAAAATTTGGCCGCCGCGGACATCGTCGACAACTGCACCGGAAAGCCGGTCGACCCGGCCGAGGTAAGCTCAGTTAACAATTTTATTAACAACAATAACAATAACGCGGTGACCAATGATCACGACGCGGACGACATAAACGACGGTACGGATTCCGAGAGGTCTCTGGGATCGCCCGTGTCCGACACTAAAGAAATCAAGGCCGAGGAGCACAGCAAAGACTTCGAGGTGAAAGTCGAACAAAACGAGTTGAAAAAAGCTAGGGTCGAAAATATTGTGTCCACAATGAGGTCCAGTCCTTCGTTGCCGGTCCAGGTCAACGGTTGCAAGAAACGCAAACTGTACCATCCGCAACAGCACGACAACAGCGAACGGTACAACTCGATGGACGTGGACGACGACGACAACGATGACGACGATGAAGAACTTAGTCCCAATGAGCTCAGACAGAAAATGGTCGAGAAAAACGTATTAAAGGACCAACTGCGCACCATGCAGGAACAGTTGGCGGAAATGCAACACAAGTACGTGCAACTGTGCACCAGAATGGACAACGACGACGAGCCCGAAGACGGCAGCGACGCTGAACCGGAACAGGCGGAAATCTCGGCGGCAAGGCACAGTCCACCTATCGCCCCGAAATGCACTACACCACTGCCGATGTTGCCATCGTCGGCTCAACAGATCAACCCAAATTTTTCGAAAATGGTCAAATTTCTACCACAGACTCACATGCCCATACACCCGTCGTTCAACGGGGCGCTAACACTGCTCCAGCAGCAAGTGCTCCAGGAACAGCACAACAATCACAATCAGCACCACGCCATCAACAACGCGGCCGCCATGTACTTGCAAGGAGTCGGTCACAAATTGTTCATGGAACAGGAAGCCAGGCTGGCAAAGGAAGCCGCGATCGCGGCGGAACAGCAACTGCATCAACAGCAACAACAACAACAACAACAACAGCTGCAACAGCAACAACAACAACAACTGCAACAGCAACAGCAACAGCAACTACAGCAACAGCAACAACAACAGCAACAACAACAGCAACACCACCATCAACATCACGTAAACCAAATGAACGCTCCAACACCCATGCACCCGCAGAAGGCCGCCTCGGCCGAGACGCCCGAAAAGATCGCCGCGGTGCCCGGGTCCGGCCGACAGCCACCCACCACGCCACCGTTCCCGGACCTCGACCTGTTGGCGGACGCTCTCAAGTCCGAGATATCCACCACGCTGACCGGACTCATCGACACGATCATGGCCAAGTTCACGCAGCAGCAACAGCAGCGCAAACAGTCCAAGACGGCAGACGCGGCGGACGTGCAGCTGATGACCAAAGACGTCGATCGCAAGTCGCTCCGGACCAAAGTCATCGACCGCGGGAGCCACGGTGCCGACCGCAACTCAGGTTTGGTCAACGGCCTGTCGAAGATGATGAACGGCGCCAGCAGCGGTGGTTACAACGCCGCGAGCCAGGTGCCGGTGACAGGCGTCGGTAACGGCGTGGCGATCGGCGGTGGCGGTAACGGTCTACTGCAGATGCCCAGCAACGGACCGGCCGAGATGAGAAACGGTCTGGTCAACACGACTTGAGGCGCCGGCGCCAGCCTGTACAACGGCGCGGACGCGGTCGCGGCTGCCGCAGCGCTAGGACACGTCCGGGGTGCTCAAATGTTTGCCCCGAAATTGCACGGCTCGGCGGGCCTGAGCAACGCAGCCGCAGCGGCCGCCCTATACTCGTCCATGAGCGGGCTGCCGTCTCACCTGAACCCGTTCTGCATGGAACGCGAACCGGCGCCCGAACAGAACGAGGCTCTCAGCTTGGTGGTGATACCCAAAAAGAAACGGCACAAGGTGACCGACACCCGGATCACCCCACGTGCCATTAACCGCATACTCACCCAGGACTCGGCGAACAACAACAACAGCAGCAGCAGCAACAACAACAACAACAACAATAACAACAACAACAACAGCAACAGTGGCGGAAATCCTATGCAATCGTTGGACGGCAGGGCGCAGCAACCGGTCGGCGGCGCGCAGGCCATGCAGCAATCCGCTGCAGTCATGCAACCCGCGGCCGGCGACTCACCCCCGCCGCCGCCGCCGCCTTCCCAACAGCGGCCGTTCCACCAACAGCAGCAGCAACAGCAATCGCCGTCGATTGCGCCGGCCGCACCTCAGCCGCCGCCACCGCCCACGATGCCCTTGCTGCCGGTGTCGCTGCCCACGTCAGTGGCCATACCCAACCCCAGCCTGCACGAGTCACAGGTGTTCAGCCCTTACAGCCCGTTCTACACCAGCCAGCACCAAGGCGTGCCGCACCACATCCCGTCGTCCAGCCCGCCCGGCATGTCCGACTCGCCACCACCGCCGCCGCCGCAGCACCACCACGGGTCGCTGCTCCACCCCGCCTTGTTAGCCGCCGCGCAGCACCACAACTCGTCGCCGGACCTGATGAGCATGAAAGCCCGGATGGACATGTCCATGGGCAACGGCGGCAACGACAGCGTCGACCGCATTTCCGAGTGCAATTCCGGGGACGGACCGTACGACGGCATGTCGCCTATAATATCCTTTTTATACAAAAAAAACAACTTATACGCATTTTTTGGTGACGATGCGTAAAATATTATATTATATTTTTAGGTTATTTCGTTTATGATCTATATTATTATTATTATTATTATTATTATTGCTATTAGTATTAGGTATTTATACAGTGTACGTCGTTTATATATTATTTATCTAAACGTGGGTAAAATGTCTAATATTAAATCGAGTACATTATAATATAATATATTCCGTAAGAAGTTGAAGGGGGGACGACGCGATTCGCGTGTTCGTGACGAATTATCGTGATATTTCCAATAAATACTTTTATGTCAGAACCATTGTTGGTTCTTTGACGATACGGGGTAATCTTCCCTTCTCCTCTATCGCAACAAAGGTGCAGCACTTGATAATATATTAATATAAAATATTATATTATCTTTCTAACTCGTCGTTTCCCGAAAAACATTCAGAAAAAAGGCGGGTAAAAACTACAGGGAATCCGACACTCACGATGCATATGGGGAGGTTTTCGGGAAGTGGTGGCCATGGGGAAGCCCCAGGAAAATGTATTACACAAACATGTGTGGAAGACCTACAAAAGAAACAAAACTTTCGCGATTAATCGAATTAACCGTCGCTAAGATTTGAAAACGATACCGCTTTAAATGCGAACGTGCGTGTAAGTCTACGCCTGACGATGACGATAATAATAAAATAATAATAATAATAATAATGACGATTAACCGTCAGTGAAATACTGTAACGAAATATATTATAATATTATTATAATGTATCGATTATCCCTATATATATATCTATATTATGATTATAATTTAATACTATGAGAAAATTGGAATACGATTTTTCCCTAACTGTTATGTTTACTCGTCAACCCTGACTCCGATGCACTTGCGAAAAGCCAAGCTGATGTTCTTTTGGGTCCGGTACCCCAGCTCAGCCATCCTGAAGATGTACTTCCCCGACATCAAGTTCAACAAGAACAACACCGCGCAACTAGTCAAGTGGTTATCGAACTTCAGGTAAGCACCTCAACTTTTAGCACAATATCTAGCATTATAGTAAATACTAATCGGTAATGTAGTAATCGGTCGGAGGAGGATTGTTGTCATGAAGTTTTTTTGAATCGAAACGCGCATTTTTTTTTTTAAACCTTATACCTGTGTCGTATACATACTCGCGCACGGTTCATAAAACACGAAGAAAAGTAATTCATCCGAACCATGTGGGTGTTAAATTAATTCCAGCTTTCTTTTCGTCATCGCATGCGGGCCACGTCCCATTTTTTTAAAATATATATATTTTTTTTTTTTTGTAAAGCACCTGCTTTAAGTGTTTCCCCTCTCATCCACCCCCCTGACATAATACGTAAATAATTATAATATATTATATTATTTTAATTCAGTGTGCACGTTTATGTATATATGAACACGCGTGCTTGTGTGTGAGTGTGCTCACACTTACTGAACACAATAATAATATTATATATTGTATTTGCTTATTGCTATTATTATGATTATTCGGAGGGCGGGAGCCGTCGAGGGAATGTCGTCGGCGAAAAAAATAACAAAACTCGCGATACGTGCACAACCACAATATTATAATAATAATAATAATATAATCTCGTTTATGACTCTTTTCCTTGTCGGGTACATATTATTACATGCGATACGGGATGGGTTAGGGTAGTGGGGATGAATTTTAACGCTTTATTTAACATTTTTATATAATATATTTATTTGGAACCAGTCGCCTAATTAACGCTCGTGTCGCACATAATAATATTATGATCGTGTGCCGTTTTCCATTTCTTATATAAAACGTAAGCACGTGTGTATATAATGGTTGGTGTATCCATATAGTGCAGGTCGTGTTTACAATAAAATAATGTGCGTATTAAACACACGCTGCCGCAGATATAGAGACGTCGCGAACGAGACAAGTTTATAATCGTTGTAATATACAATCCATTATACGGCGACGGTTTAAAATATTATGTTATAAATTTATTATATAAAGCGTGTGACGTTTTGAATATAGGTGGGAGGGGGGCGGGCAAAATAACGCTGCAAACCTACGGTACACTTGGTCGCGAAACTCGCGAGTACGAAAACTAAAAAATAAATAATATAGATATGTACGCCGTTAGTAACTCGTGCTGCAGGGCGTAAACGAGTTAAAAGTGATGACAGTTACGTTTCTTAGTTCGGAAGAATAAAACAAAAGAAAAATAGTAAATCATTAGAACTCACAATTTTATCAAATCTATTCCATCAACTTTTAACTTGAGACCCCCCCTTGAAAAAATTTCGCTAACCTACCCAGCCTCGTCAAAAAGTACTCGCATCGTCGAGTTTGCGATTTTCCTCGATTGGCGCAACATATACTCTGAGCTTGGGGTAAAACCGTACACACACTCATAAATCATAATAGCAATATTATAATATATCACCCATGATATTACATATTTTATGTAATATCGCACGATGTGAAAACGGAGGATTTGTTTTAACTCACAAGCATCTACCCCTCCGCCCCATATTTGTATACAAATGATTGGCTTTTCACCACCGTCGTCCGTTTACCTACAGGAGTGCACAATAATAATACTAATAACGTGTACCGCAATATCATATCATATTGAATTATTACCATCATCGTGGTGTACATTATTATTAAAATATTATAACACTCGTAACATTCGCGCACACGATGCTCTTTCGCTCAGGCGTATTAACCCGTCCGTCTTCGAGAGGCGGGGCTGTTCTTCGCCATTATATTATACCTACCTATCTACCTACATTTTATGTAGTATTATCATTAAGCGCACGTGTCTATTATATTATACTGCTCACACACAACATTTCACATAATATAATACGATAATATATCGAGTGCCAGCGTTTCGGAAAAGCGCAATGGTGTACGCGCGACGTATTGTGCGCGGTGTGTGCACCGCACTCGAATCGACTCGATCCGCTGATTTCAATATTATTATTATTATCATCATCGTAATCGTGCGAGCGTACCTAGTAGAATACAGTGTATGCCGACCGTAATATTAATTATATATTTTATTGTATACAACTCTCTAGCGCCCGCTTAGTCTTTTCACCGCAACACATCGTACAACGTTCGAAATTATAATAATAATAATAATAACGACGACGACGACTACGACGACGACGATGATGATGATGATCATAATATTATAGTCACAACATTGTAATATTATAATATGTACTCCGCCGCGTTGTTTCCGATGCGTGCTCGAGAGTCGAGACGAGTGTGCCAATTATACATAATATAATATATAATATTTAATGATAAATCGTAATAATATCGTATACGTAACCCGCCCGTTTCGATAATAATTGTTATTATATTAATACACATTTATCGTACGATACGACGGTGTTATTATTTTATTAATCGTGTCGTTTTTTTATGTGCCTCCAACAGAGAGTTCTATTACATTCAGATGGAGAAATACGCACGGCAAGCCGTCAGCGAGGGTTTGCAGAGATCCGAAGACATACACGTCAACAAGGACAGCGAGATCTACAGGGTCCTAAACTTGCACTACAACCGCAACAACCACATTGAGGTATGCCTCTGCCAACATCACAAAAACGAGTGTATATATTGCGGTATACCTGAACCGGTAATAAAACCGGACATTTTTTTGTCTTTTCACTCTTTTTTGGCGATCATATTATTTTGATAACGAATTATTATTGCCGGGATTGATGATGATGCATTTAGAAATGCACCATACTCATCATAATATCGTGTTCGACTATATACATAGGACTGTATTCGATTAAAACTGGATTAACTGTAATACGCCATACAGAACTACTATTACTATTGTACGAGTATTTTCAAATACGAACCAACATTTTCCGGTTCTGCATCGTCATTTTAATGTTGAAATATTATTTCTTAAAAAACCTCGAAGGTATACAGGCATATTATCGCTCGACCTGTCGAACCTAACCGTAGAAATAGTATAATATATTACGTAATAATACGTTTATTGTGTTTGGTGTGTAGTTCCCGATTTTTATTTTTCCTTTTTTTCTGTTTTTTCCCCATAGGCACCTAGCAATTTTGAGTATGTGGTGCAGCAGACGTTACGCGAATTTTTCGTGGCCATCCAGAACGGAAAGGACACGGAACAGTCGTGGAAAAAGTCCATATACAAGGTCATCTCTCGCATGGACGACACCGTGCCGGAGTACTTCAGGTCTCCGAACTTCCTCGAACAGCTCGAATAAACGGTATATAATTATGTACACACCGTGTATATATATGTACGCATAATATATATATATATGTATAATACTACATTATATACAAGCATTCGACATCGCGTCTGTAAACTGTGCTTTTTTTGTAAAGAAATTTAATAATTATATTATCGTTTTCAATGAGAAAAACGAAAACAAAAACGAAAGCTCAAACATTGAGTTTTTGTGATGGGTTTTATTATATTCTATATATGCATTGTTGTGTACAGTCATTTTGAAAACAAATTTTATAACATTCATTATGTTTTACTTTTTGGTTTCCAAATATTTTTATAAAACATTAAGGGCGGTCTCTTTGTACAAAGAAAAAAATAATATTATGTTGTACAAAAAATTTGAATTTATCTTTACTTATTTTATTTTTATATAATTATATATATATTTTAAAAAGAAAAATTATAATCGCTTAAATATTGAAATTATATATATGTATATGGAATAGTCTAAATGTATATAGGGAACAAGAGACCCACCAATTTTTATTTATAAAAAAAAAACCAATATTAAGATGTATAGTAGAGATATTATTGCCCCAGCGATGGGTCAGTTAATGTACACAACATATTATTTATATATTATATTAATTGATTGTTAAAAACTACATTTTATTCACACGGGGTACCCATTTTATTATTATTATGATTATTATTATTATTATTATTATTATTATTATTATTATTATTGTCATTATGATTATTATGTACCTATTATTATTTTTAATTTTACATCAATGTTTAGGTTAGGTTATATTGTTATTTCACAATTTAATAGCACTTGATAACAAACAAAAAAAAAATTTAAACAAAAAATAATTTGCCTGATAAGGCGTTCAAATACTCCCTCCCCCTCCCCCCACTCACGTGATCTCACATTACTCCAATTATTAACTATCTAGCTTAATTTTTATTTTTTAGTTTATTTTATTTTATTTTATTTATTTATTTTATTATTATTATTTTTTTTTTTTTTGGTGTGGTGAGTTTCTCCTAGTCAAATAAATTAAAAAATAAAAGGATCATATTATATATTATTAAAAATAGTTCTTATAATATTATAATTTCGTCGTTATTATTTTATCATTGTCATTATTATACATAATATTATTATCACCGTTTAGTTTCCCCCATCCGCTAGCGGTACCTCCGCCGACAGACAGACCATATTTCCAATAATATACATAATATTATAATATAATATTCAGAATACAATCAGTTTACAGACAGTTTACAACTCGCAGCATATTATATATATAAATATTAAATATATATATATAATATTCCTATATACAGACTATATGCACGATGATATATACACACGTGCATATTACATACACACACACTCACACAACAGTCATACACATACTAAAATAGTATAAGTACATACACCGAACTTAATAATATAATATGTTTTACAGTCGAATACAATATCGCATACACACATTATATTATTACATATACATCACACATCATCACACACATATAATATAAATATAATATTATTTATAGAGTATACTTACATATTATATTATATTATATAAAATATAAATATATAGACACACTGGCGCAAACATTTTATTCGACACTCGAAGGACATCGCACACATCATATATATATATATACGTATATAGGTACGGTCTCCGCATTCGGACCTATATAATTTGAATTTTTTTTCGTTCCATTTATTTCGTTTTCGTTCGCCGCACGTTTTGGACGAAATGTTTTTTACTTCTTCCGTCGACATAATATTACGCTCGTGTATATTTTATTTTCCACGCATATCAAGCATAATCCGTATATACAAACAACCCTCGGTACACACACACACGCATACACACATACAGACGGATATTTAGAACAGACAGACACACCGAAAAAAAAAAAATATATATATATATGTATTGAATTATATACATCACACAAACAGTTTATAATATAATACAATATTATTATTACACATTACACGACACAATATTAGCAACAAAAAGAAAATACACTATACATATACGCGCTGGACTCGGCGGGCGGCGAAAAAATGCTAAGACTTACAACGATCGCGTCGGATTTCGGCTCGCTTTTCGCCCCCCCCCCCCCATCGCGCGAAAGTTTCAGCTGTAGTTTCAGTATACAAGCGGACGAGAGTCGCCAAAGTCCGCCGCCGCAAGACGGACAACCGCTCACACACACTACACATACACCCACTCACCCACACACACACACAGACAGATCGCATTATAACCCCTATCACATCGCATACACGCAGACAGGCAGGCAGACAGACAGACAGTTATAAAGAAATCACGATTCAGTCGACTTTCGGTAACTCAGAGTTCGTGGGTGTGAGAGAAAAAATTCGCGTTATTCAAAAATGTCGATATACATCCGAAAACCGATTAAATATTTAAAAACCTATCATCATGACATGACGATGGAAAGAGAATTTTTTAGGGTTCAATAGTTACCGACTAGAGTCGACTGTAATAATATATCATACGCATATTATATAGACACACACACACACACATCTCACACACACGCACACACATTCGCGCAGGGGATATGTATATTATAAAATATTTTCTATAGATTTAAACCGATACAGACGCACATAGGAAATATGTGCGACAATAATTATTATAATATACAGAAACAAAAAACGTGTTTATTGTAAGATAGACACGTTCAAAAAATGGCATTGTAGATTTAAACAATAATATATTATATTATTATATTATTACGATATAACTCTAATATTATTTTTTATTCGATTTTTTCACTATTACTACTACTACTACTAATACTACTACTAATACTACTAATAATATACTACGCATAATACATTATAATATAATAAAATAAAATAGAACGGATAAGGTTTCAGGTTGAAAAAAAGTCATTTTTACTACATATAAAATATAAAATAATATTATATACACAGTGTGTTATATTTGATTTATTTGATTTTTGCCGGTTTTGTTTTCACGAGTTAACTATATGTTTAAGTTTTGAGGGTTTTTTTCGTTCGGATGTGTACCTATTTCATATCTGCACGCACGAAAAGAATCTACAAACTATGTACTAGTCTTTTGTTTTATAATAATATTATGTTTTACAATTATTATTATTATTATTATATTTTTTTTTAATTTTTGAAAATAGTTGAACAGTTTTTCGAGTGTGCTAGGATAATATTATATTTACAATAATTAACGTTTATGAAAAAAAAAATTTACTCATAGTCATACGCATAATAATAATATAATGTAACATTTTTAATAATAGTTCAAGAAAAGCAGTTATGCCCTGGGCTCGATCACTATATAATAATATTTTAGGTATAATATAATATAATATTATAGGTTATATTATGTTCATTAATGTCATAATTGTTTTTACTCTAAAACCTCTTGTTATTACGGTTTATTCTTTTTACTCTTCTTCTCGTCTACACGCGTTACAGTACATCATATTATTACGTTTACCTATTAATATTACAATTTTTTTTTCGTTCCCCAAGACTGATGACTTACCCGTCCGTCGTTCAACAATAATATATAATATATATAGATACGAGGGCGCAAATAGGGGGTGAGGAGCCCTGGGAAGTATTTAATATACAACTTCTAAAATTCGTCACGAACACTCCCGACTTTTGAATAAATTGATTTTAACTCAAATTCTTCGGCTCCCTCGCCCCCTCGAAATAATTAGGAAGTTTGCGCCAAAATATATTATATATGTGTCCGGGTACTTTGACTACATTTTCTATTATATTAGAATAATATTCTTTTTTCTGTTACATAGTGACCTCAAATACTTATAAAATGGTATGCACCTGAATATGATTTTTTCCTATTTTTCGTATACGTTTTTACGATATTTGCGTACTGCGCACACGCGTTGCTGGCCGTCTTAAAAAATAAATGTCACGTGATTTTTGTTCAAGTTTTTTTTTTCTTTCCGATGTAACATATTATTGTTATTATTATTATTATTATACAGAAAGCGATGCAATGACGAAAAAATTGTGGCCCGGGGTATCTATATATAATACGATATTAACAAGGCATTTTTTATTTTTCCTTTCGTTAGCGTTTCTTTATACTTATATCATTGTCATAATTATTATTATTATTATTATTATTAATAAATTAGTCCAAGTTGTTTTCTCATATTATTATATTATTTATTTATACGATAATATATATTATTACGATTAACAGTACATGTTTATAGGTGTGCCTATACCTAATAATTGTAATAACAGTCAAACCTGATTAAGCTAATCGTAATGATGACATATATATTATATTGTATGTGTGTATATGTTCCGAAAACACGCGCGTTACACGTCACACTCCTCATTTATGTATGAAATAATAGTTATTACCGCATTACACTATAATATAACATTGTATAACTATATAATATGTCAATGGTGATGTACATGTAATCCTCGTATATACATATACTGTTTATTTCTTTTTTTGTTTGTTTCGTTATTTTTGTTTTTTTTTTTTTTTTTAATGATATGTACCTAATAAAAAAAACAAAAGTAAACTAATATAAATGACCTAAACACAAAAAACACGTGTACTTAATATATTCTATGTTGTTGCAGTTTTCCCACACAAGTCTTTCATAGACGGCGTTCCGTGCTCACCCAGCACATGTCACGTGGTTATAATATAAAAAATCGGAACAATTTTTGAAATTTAATTGAGTTGGTCAAGTTGAGTCGACATTAGAAGTTGAAAACGTCGAGTTGTGAATTAAAATAGTTATTATAATGCTATAGGATCAGATCAGTATGTAGACACGTTTTTACTCTATAAAACCAGTGCAAAGTTTATGTGGGGAAGTAAAGTATTAGATTCAGTCCAGTTAAACGGTTTTAAAACTCATTGATTCACCGTCGGAATAAGAATATAATATACCTAAGATTATAAAAATACAAAAATATGATCATATGGTACGAAAAAATGCGCTGGAATGACGATGGCCGAATGACGTATACCCGCAGTATTAAAAACCCCCCTCAAAAAAAAAAAAAGAAAGATATTCTGAACATTGGTCTGCGGGTGTATATATATTGTGTGTCAAGGTGGCAGGATCTTGCAGGCGTTTGTGCAAACGTTTCCGAAAAGAAACGCATATATACACCCGGAAGTTTCGACACGCTCGACGGCCCGACTCGTCGAACGTATAATGTAACACTCGAAAAGAA